TTTAAATAAGCAGTATATAATTCATTTTCTCAACATGAGCATGCTTGCCTCACAAGTAGACCCTACGGGTACACATGGGGGATGGTGTGATGTGAAGATTCAGTGGGAATGTTTTGACAATTGAAGTTTTTCTTTCTTCCTTTTAATTTCGTGATTTCTGTACTTGATCTCTGTAATGATAGCTTTATGTGGGACTTAACTAAAACTAAGAAACTTTTTTTTTTTTTCCTTTTACCTTGAAATTGTAACTGTTCCCATCTCCTACAAGCGCCTGATATCAAAGCTGCACCAAGTGAATCAGAAGTGCACTTGGGTCCCCAAGAACCTGGTCCTGGATTTACGGTGCTCAGTGAGTGAGTGCATACCACAGTTTGGCACGTCTGGTTCATGTCAGCGAGAGTGTGTGTGCAGGGACTTAAATCTGTGTGATTTAAGGCATGGAGGATGTAAAGGCAAGATCTTGGGGTTGGTCAGCTGGCTTTTTGGAAGCTATGAGATGTTTGGAAGGGCAGGATATTGACCACATTGAGGTGAGACTCTGAAATAGTAGATGGAGAAGCAATGGAAATGCTGCACTTTTCATTTTGTATCTTGAGCACAAGTGAAGGCAGGTTTGGAATTAATTTCAGGCAGGGAACACATAAACCACAGGTCCAGCACTCTGAAGAGTTTTGAATCTTTATTTTGAAGGCTTACTGCATCCTGCTGATGTCTTGATCTTCCAGTGGCAGTAGAGCTGTAGGTCAGATTTGTCTAGGAGAAGGAAATTTTCTTTTGGGCCCCTGTGCACTGTTTAAATTGTGAATTTTCTTGCTGTTACGGGATTTTATAATATATATTATATATTATTTACACATAAAATATGTTTTAGTGTCATTGTAACCAAACAACAACAACAAAAAATTATCCTAGATAGATGATTAGAGGGATGGAAAATGCCAAGTGAGCTGTAAGTCACTGAGCTGTAGGACATTTTCAATTGATACAGCCAACAGAAGTTTGGTGTGCTGTTGTAGGTGAGGTCATACTGGTTTGCTGCTAATGTGCTGTATTATACTGCACTTAGCCTTGTTCTCGCCAAGGATTGTGAAGAGGTTAGTGAGCTGCTCTTATCAATCAGGAGTCAAATGATCCAGAAGAGGAACACAGAGTTCCTAGTGAAGGATCATTGCAAGCAGGACAGTTTGGCTAATTAGCTTTCTTTTATTTTCTTTTTTTTACATCACTAGAATTCTGCATATCAATATAACTAGGCAGTGTACAAATCATTGTAACAATCCATTAATCAAGGGCATGGAAGAACAGTGCTGAGGGAAGGATCCCTCTGTGTTACATAAGTATCGGGCTGCAGGTTCTCAGTCACCTCATCTCCTTCCCTTAGGACTTCTCATCCCCAGAGGAATAAAATGAGCCACCTTATGGAGCTGACAATTTGTTTGCAGTGAAATTTATCAGAAGGCGTGGGGTGCCATGCTGAAGGCCTATACAGAACCGCTGGGTAAAAGTACTTAAGTGCACATGTTCCTAATGGTCCTTTCTCTCTTGAGTTTTGTGCACTTAGAAGTTGGAAATGATACTGGCTAAAATCTGAATGCAGCTTCTTAAATACCGTATCCTCATTCTGCCTTAGAAACTGACTTTGTATGTCTTGCTCTTCCCTTGGAGAATTGATGGAGGCCTCCCTAACTTTGAATATTCTGGGAAATAATTACCCTGCAGGCAATTAACCTGCACTGTTAGGGCACTGAACCAAAAGTAGTCTGGAGATGCTTTTGTTGTTTCAGATAAGTATCCTGATGCTGACTCCTGTGTATTTTCACAGTCCCCTCTGGGAGCTCAGCTCCCTTCCCCTTCCTTTCAGCCCCTGTCCTGGTGTCCTGCTCCTTCCCCTTGGCTGCAGCATGAGGCAGCTTTGCCTGCACTTCTGCCTTGATCCTTTCCTGATGGGGGTGGCACAGTGGATCCTCAGCCTGAGCTCTGGGAGTACAGACAGAAGAACACAACAGCCTTGTGGTCAAAGTGCCAGTCTGAATCTTGACTTTAATACTGTTTTGTTTTGCTGTAGTACTTAGAAAAGGCTACAGAAAGATGCTGTTGTTTTGCCTAGGTTAGAGGTCACTGTTACAGGGTCTCTGCTCACTGCTCAAGCAGCTAAAGGTCTGAGACAGTAAAATGCTGGGCCCTTGGTTGCTCCTGGTTTATCTGTATGGAGGGATGCATCTTAACTATGACCATTGCTAGGTAGAAAATGGCTTGCTAACATATAACAGGGGAAGAAACACACAATTTATGCATAGTTGAAAGGACATGGATTATGAGGGAGGGTTCTGGGTGAGATGGTCTCTGAGCATTCTTTGCCTTTCTCACAGGTGTTTGTGAAGTGTTTTGAGATCATGTATACAGATCACAATATCCTCATGCAACTTTTCTCAAATTTTTGTCTCTCTGGAGGAGAAATCTTAATATGGGTTGTTACTGGGCTGAGGGGTTGTCCATGTTCCTTAGGCTCCCGGAATGCCTCACTCACTAGCAGTCTCTCCAATTTGGCTGTAAGATTAGTGATTTTTTTCAATTAAAACAGAATGTAAAAGTATTGTCCAATTAGAAAGCAATGGTGTGTTTGTAAGTATCCTTGAACGTATTTATCTGTCCGCTGGGAGCACGCAGATGTCTGCTGGAATTTCTCTGCAGCACGCTGGGGGTGGGGACAGAAAAGAAGTAGCCAGAAAATCACTGTTGCTGCAGTAAATACCAGGCTTCTCCTAGTGACCTGTGCTGACTGCAGAGCTTATTACATCTGATACAAGCATAAAACATCAACTCGACAGTGCTGTTCTCTGGCTGCCCTGCATCTGTACCAGCAGACTGTTCTTGGCTGATTGTTGTGGGTGGTCATGAAGAAAAGGTGCCACATTTTAAAGCCTATTATTATGATAAAAAAAAAAAAAATTGCAAGGCAGCACTGCTCAGTAAGCAGCAGCAGCAGCCTTGGTTCACCTCCATAGAATGGTCTCTGAGGCTGGAGCCAGAGGCATGCTGTCGTAGCGAGCAGTGTGGCTGCTGGTGAGAGTGCTGCTACCCAGAGCTGACTGCAGTGTCCTTTGGCTGTGTTGTCTGTCTGGGGTTCCTATGGCATTGGTCTGTGTTGTCTGGTGGTGATGTTCTGCCACAAAGTGGAGATGCTCTGTGTGAATCACAGTGAGCTCCTTTCTGGGTCATGGTACTGCTGTATGTGGTGCTCACAGCCCCAGCTCTGGATACAGAGGTGAAGCAGGGCACTGCCTTCATCAGCCTGCAGTTGTGCCTGGTTCCAGGTTGAAATGCAGTGTTTCTGAAGGGGACAGTAAGCTAGAGCCAGCCTGAGCACCTCTTTTGTCCCAAAGTTTTCTGGATTGGTGCTTGCGTTCAGCTTATTTCCAGAGGAGTTTAGCTGAGATGGGATTATTTGCAACCATCAGTTTACTTAGCTAGCAGCAGCTTCAGAATCCTCACATTTCAGCTCTGGATGGAGGCGCAGGATTTGCTCTTTGCTGGGAAGCCATCATCTGTGTTTCCATGGCATCAGCCTCGAGTGAAGAGCAGCAGGGAGGGCAGTGCTGTGGAACATGGTGAGAAGTGGTGTGTTTTCCAGTCAGGGCATAGGGCTCTGCCTGCCTCAGTACTGCTGGGTGGATGGCTTTATGCTACCCTGCTCAAGATTGCAAAGACTTTGCTATTTCTGCTGCCTTTTCTTGATTTTTCTGGAGATGGGGCCATCACACACCTGCGTTACGCTTGCAGCTCCATCTTCCCAAGTGATTTGATTTCTTGGCTCAGCACCTCCAGCCTAATGAGACTGGTTTACCTCCCTAGTATGCTGCATGAAGCTGGCACTAAGCAGTGCATCACAGCTGTGGTGCAGGTGCATAGTAGTGGCTGCAGCATTCGTTTGTTACGTGATCACTTGAGACAATCTGTGTGCCAGCTTTGGCTTTTTTCCAGCTGGCACTCAAGAACAAGGAGCTGAATACAAGTTTGGTGAACTTCTATGGGTACTTGTATGGGTTTATGTTATGCAGATTCTATGGTGATCACTGTAGTTTCACTGGTAGTACAATCTGTAAAGTTATGCATGTGTAAAATGGTATATAATTTAGATGACAAGAACTCTGTAACTTAATATATATTTCTATTTTGTATTTTTATCACTGCAAATCTACTTTCAAGAAATAGAATATACTTTTTTTTCTTCCAGCTTGGTAATATGTGATTGGCAGCTAGATGCAAGGCAGTGAACAGGATACAGATTTAAAGAAAAAAGCCTTGAGGGTGCTCTGTAGAGTAAGGTGATGTCATTATTATGTCAGACATCTGTGTCAGCACTGGCACTGCAAAAGAGCCTGATGGGAGAGAGAACCCCTGCAGCAGGGCAGTGGCTGCCCCCTACGTGTTTGTGTTACCATCATTTGTGATGGATCTGAGAGAAAGCTCAGCAAACGAGACTGCGGGATGTGTGCTAAAGCAGCTTAAACATCTGATGTCTTCACGGCATTTCTTTGTTGTCTTCATTGTTTACCACGATGAACCTGTGCAGGAATCATATGAAAAACAGTGTGGATGACAGAAATGGAGCTCTTCATCGCCCATTTGATTCCCAACTGCCTCTGCATACCTCTCATCTTGCTAAGGCTCAATCTGTATCCCTGCCATCCCTCCAATAGCCTTGTTGAATGCTTTTGCAGGCTTGTGTCCAGCTTAGCTCTCAAAGATTGAAATGTGACTAGGTCTTGAAAATAAAGTCTTTTTACCAAAAAAAAAAACAAGCATGCTGCCTGTCCCTGCGCCCCCAAGTGGGATATATAATGAAATTTCCTTTAAAACTGAGTCATTTCAACCTTGATTTTACATCCTACAAACAGTAGTTGTTTGTTTCAGGTTAATTTTTAATTTCCTGTCATAACTGTGGTTGTCTTCATACTGATAAGGAGAATCTCTTTCATTCATTCGTACTTCTTTTTCAGATCGCATGTGGCTCTGAGCATAATCTGGCAGTAGTTGGTAAGTAGCTTGATTTTATATCAATTCTGTCACCTTTTTTTCATTTATAAGTAGCACAAGATGCAAGAAGAATGTGCACATCAAACATATCGAGTGAGTGAGGGCGTTGTGCAAACCAGCTGGGAGAAGGAAAGCAGTGTATAGGTGGGGAGGAAAAGAGGAGGAGAAATCTGTAGCCTGACTGGTGCTGATGAAAATAATGCCCTTGTTGACCAGCCACTGTAATGAGAAAGAGTGAGAGAGGGAGGGAGAGGGGGAAAGGGAGAGTGGGGAAGAGGGAGAGAGGAGGATTGGTGGATGTAACAGCAAAATACATTCTCAGTTTGCTGTTAGAATGGAGCCATTGTAACAATTCAAACCACAGATTTGGGGTGGCATCTAAGCTTGAAGCTTGTCAAAAGTATCTTTGTTTAACAGGGAAATTTTCAGTGAAAAAAATCCTGAGTCTTTTGTTCTTTTAAGCTTGGAAAGTCTTTGGTGTTTTGATCAATGCTTGGTAGGTTCTTTAGTAGACCGTATTATAATGCTGCTGTAGTGACAATGGTAGAACTATTAGGAAGCTAATGTGACTGAAAGAACTGAATTTTGTATACTAATTCAACAGATTCTTGCTTTCATGTGAGGAGTTGATAACTGAAGCTTGGTATGTGATTGCTATTGTTTATATTTACATGTTAAAAAAAAAAAAAGCTCTTAACTGTGGATTTTCAGATATGTAATAAAGGTCAGCATAACCATCCTGGTTAACAGGGTGAGAGAGACAGAGGAATGCTGTGCTAATCAGAGCTGATAATGAAACCAGCATTAACCATCAATTTCAGTCAGCATCCATGTAGGCATTGCTGATTGCCATCACTGATGTATTAAGGTGTTCAAGGAAGAATATCCTTTATTTTCCTGAGTGCAATATGACAGGTCTGCAAAAACTGGCTATTTGGTAGGAGACCTGCATTTCATATCCTGATTTGTTTTGGTTCGGTTATTGTCAGCTTCGTTAAGTGGACACTGAAGGGTTTTCCTGTATATATAATATGTAATTTTCTAATAATGACTCTAAAATGCAACCCTACATCAAACTTCTTAAAGTTCTACTTAATTTATACGGCAGGCTTATAGAAAAGTTTTGTCCTTTGTCTCCCTACTGGTTCAGTGTCACTTGCATCTCTTAATTTTCAAGTTGGTGCTTCTGAATGTCAAATGAAGAGCAATCTGAAGAATTGCATTGTGTTTCTTGCTGAGCTGATGAAGTGTACTGCTTGCAGATTCCTCCAGTGTGTGAAAGCCAAGCTCTGAGTTTGGACAACCTTCTCTCTCCTTATGTTCTTTTAAGCTTCCTACCTTTTAGGCTAAAATCTCTGGGAAAAAATGGATAGAGGAGAGAAATTGTAGAAGTAAGGTATGTTAAAGTAGGATTTCTAAACACAGAATCATATCATATTCCTTTTAAAGCTTTGCCCTACTTCCATAGAATTCAGTGGGAAAATTATCAGTCCTAGAAGCCGGTCATTTTTATTCTAAGAACAATGGAAATACATTACTTTTTTGAACTAAAGTACTATTATACATTTTACTTTTGAATTGAACTTTTGTACAGGCTTTTAAAAGCTTGACTTTTTAGAACACTTTATGGTAGGTTTTCTCCATTGCGTGTCACTCTTCATTAAAAGCAGTTAGGTGTTTTACATACAGCTTTCATTAAGTACTTCTATTTTATTGTACTGTTTCATAGTAACTTATCATTCAAGCAGTGTTTATTTACAACAACTGTATAATAAGTTTCTCTTTTAATTGGTAATGCTTGAGTGATAGACTTTTAGACTGAAATAACTTTCAGATTCAATATGAAGGGCAAACCAAAATGCACACCTTTAATATTAGAATATTCAAGCTGAGATTTCTGGTTGCATATACAGATGTTTGTACCTACTTTGTTGTCTTGTCTTTTAATCAGAAGCACTTCAAAGATGGAGCAGCTAGATTTGTCATTCATTTCACAAATACTGAATCCGTGCTCCAGTCATCTTGCTGGAGACATGAACAGATGCATAGGGCTTAGCTAGCAGGTAATTGTTCTCGTGTTACTTTATATAGTTTATATCCAGTTTGTTCAGTTATTTAATTTTCTTTTCTTGCTTCCTCTTACTGAAAGAGCAAAATTTGGTTGTTGTCTTCATTGTAATGGCACCAAGTCCTTTTTCATGGGTAAATGGAAATAAATTCGGTTTTCATTTGATCACAAGGTTAATGTTGTAGAAGGGGTGAGGTATGTGTCTATTATTTATAAATGTGTTGAATAGATCTGGATAACTCAATGAATTATAGAATTAACAGAATTATAAGTAATGCTTACAACTGAAGAAATTCATATCTTTTCATGTGCTAACTTTCAATGAAAACACTTGTTTGGAGTTGTCTTGGGATACTGATTTGAGTATCTGGAAGTATTGTGACTTTTTACATGAAAAGGAAAATCCCTACTTAATATGACAGAATCTTGCACTTCTCATTTCAGTCAAGGATTAATCATCGTAGGATCCAGCCTATTTTTGGTAGAGAATATATCTATTTAACAAATTTTGGGCAACATCTCACATATGAAAAACATCTGATGCTGAGAACTGCCCAGGTTTCATAGCTGCACTCTGCAGCACTGAATGTCATGATATTAAGAGAGTGATTGAAACGTGGTGTGAAACCAAATCACAGTGACAAAGCTGAGTGCTTTCAGGTTTGGGAATCTATGGTGTTTTCAAGAATGGAAAAGTAGAAGAAAGAAGGTTTGATTCTTATCCTGAAAAGCATGTGGTTAAAAATTCTGTTTATGGGGAAGATTCTTACCAGGTTCCTCCTACTTGCCCCCACTATGAATAGATCTTCCTTTTAAAAAAAAAAAAGGAAAAGATTTTTTAAAATTGATGAGAATAAAATATGCTTTAAGAGAACACTTAATGTGCCACATATGGCTCATCCCTTGCTGCTACTTAAATAATAAAGCCACACAAATAGCCATACGAATGTACAGCTGCTATAAAAACAGGCATATATTGACTGTAACCACAGGGCACAGGACAGGATTCCTCCATGAAACCCCCCAGATGCAGATGTGCTATTTTAATAAAAATTAAACCCATAAATTTTATTTAGTCTTCCTTGAAGTAATTACAAGAACGGTGCTTCTCTATCTGGCTTCCAAAAATCTGCTGAAATATAATGTATCCATTTTTGGTCATCTTTTCAATCATTTTCTCACCTTTATAACATATTAAGAGTCTTTTAAAAGAAAGCTGCTGGAGGATGTGTAGGGAGAACTTCTTGTTTTAAAAACACAAAGCACAACTTTAAAAGCTTACTGGCTGGTTTGTGCATGATTTCAGTAGTGCAGTGCCTGGTACCACGTCTGCTCGGTGATTTTTCTGCTAACCTAATGGGTGACTTGGGGATTTAAAGTGTTTTTCTGTGAAACTGACATGAATTCTTCAGGTAAGTTTTTTCTAGTAAGGCATCTTGAAAAGTGTTGGGAAACGTGGCTGCCTGAAATGGTTAGCATGACTTTTCCTGGCATTTTCACACTCAGTGTGGTTTTTCTCTGAGGGTTATATTGTTTTCTTTCTTGGAGACTTCAAAACACTTTTAAAACTACTTCTCAACTTTCTTGTAAATAAGAGCCCCTTTCAGTTTTTTCTACTGTAGCCATGCTTGCTGTATTTCAGAGCATGTGTTCTATTTCATGCATGAGAATTGTCTCATCTGTGACTCACATGCAAACACTGCTGTAGATACCCTGACATGGGTGTTCACGTTCCTCTGAAGCTGCAAGATGTCATTTTGGAGTGCAAGCAATACTAAGTTTTCATAGAATAACACTCTTCATCAAGGAAAATTGAGGAAAAAAATATATCTCCTCTCAAGTGGCAGGTAGTGCTTCAAATCCCCTGGAGTAAAGTGTGTAGCATCTTTAGAGAGACTAAAAGCAGTTACTGCATCGGCTGTTAATGTTTGCTTCTTATGTTGTTATGCTGGAAGAGCATAACAGTTATGGACTGGAAAACAGATGTGATCAAAATGACAAACTCAAACTGGTTGGGAACTGGTAATAAGCATCCTGAAGTGGTCACGGAAGTGGTGGCATCGTGCATGCTTTGCTCGCATTCTTTGGAATGAGAAAGCTGAAGGGTTCTTTTGTTGGAGCCCCTGCCTCGTTATTAACAAGGTCAATAACAAAAACAATAATTAACATTATTTAGTGAAGTTCTGTGAGTCCAACTAAATTATTGTAAAGAGAATCAGTAGAGGAAGCACTGTAACAGACTGTGAAAGGCATGCTTCTATGACAGAGCGAGAACCAATTGGGAGAGGCTGCTGGGCAGATCTTTGCTGTGGTGGCAGCATTATTTAGATGTTCACAGCAGCCCTCTGAAGCAGCAGATGTAGTCATTCGGTCCCAGGGGTGCTCAGCATGCTGTCACAAAGAGAAAATCATAAATTCTCTCTTTTCATATTGGCATAGCGTTCGGAGGAAACTCCAGCATACACAGCGGAGGGCACTGGTGTTCAGCAAGGAGCCTCAGTCTGATCCTCTATTGCTTTATTTATTATGCATGAAAAATCCCAGTGCAGCCAGGGTCTCTATTGTGAGGATTCCTGGCAGAGCAGCATGGAATCACGTTGCAGCATGCTGTCTCTGCACTGCTGCACTAATCTCATTCTCTGCTTATTAAAGGGCACCTGGCAGGACTTTGAGTAACCATCGCTGTTGTCGTTTTCATGGGGGTTATATGTCAGCCTTCTAAATTTGCTCCCTGGCAGAGAGAATGAATTTTGCGTGTCACTTGTCTGTTAATGTGACTTTAACTGTTAAAATAGCTCCTTGAGATACAGACTGCCTTGGTACCGTTTGTTGTCAAAAGCTGCCATGCTTCTGTAATTACCTGAGCACCTGCCTATGTGCAGGTGCTTTCTGCCTACTTAAGCATGGGTCTGACACCGCAGTTCTGCTGTTG